GAGGACGGCCAGCGCCCTGCATGCCTGCCCCACTCACCCGCCCCTGCTGAGCCAGATGGGAGGTGGGGTGTGGGGGCCGCAGGCTCTGGGATCTTCGGGACCCCTTGAGAGAAACCGGGGTGCTCCCTCAAGGGCCGGGAGCGTCCGGGGAACAGCATCAGGAGGACCAGGACAGGACCTGGGGGGTGGGTCGTGGGCCTCACGTGGTGGCCAGTCTTGCCCTCCCTCCGTCCCACAGAGAAGCGGGACACACTGGGAACAGGGCCACAACACTTTGTGCAGGTGCCTCGGGATGGGCTAGCAAGGGCCTGTGTCCGCAGCATCAGCCCAGAAGGGGGCAGGGGAGACCAGGGCCCCTCCGTCGCTGGCAGCCAGACTCGACCCCAGTGAACGAACTGACGGGGGCTCAAGGCAGAGTGTGGAAGATGAAGGGGAAATATCTCAAAACACTGAGCAAAAAGAAGGAAACGAAAAGCTAATGACTGGGGACAGAGGCAGCCTGACCTGTGAGCAAAAGGGGCTCCAGAACGACAGAAAGCAGCAGGGGGAGGCGCAGCCCCTGACGCTTTCCTGAGCAGGAGCAGGAGCTGGCCCCGCACCCCGATGAGCAGGCGGAGCTGACCAGGGGCTCCCAAGACTCCAGGCTGGGGAGCAGACCCCACTTCCCGACAGGAGGGGCTGCTCCCGAGCAAACAGCGCCCACCCCGGGCCTGGCCTGTGCGCGTCGGGGGCGGGAAGTTAGCACAGCCCAGCGTCCACTCCAGAGACAACGGGACGGGACTCAGCACTTCCAGGTCCAGGCCAGAGCGCTGGGCGGACAGAGGGTTAGGAGCGGGGCAACACCTGAGGACCACGCACGTGTCAGCACGAGGTGGGTGACGGGACCTAGTGGAGCTCATGGGAACGTGTCACAGACGTGCTCTCTCAAGGCTTTAGAAATGGGGTGCCTGGAGGAGAAACTCAAGTAAGGGAGAAAAGAGAGCCCCAGAGACTGGCACAGCAAGGCACTGGGGCAGGAGGCGGGTTGTGGCCGAGTCTCCCGTGCCACAGTGGACCTGGGCTGGCCCCGTGACCCTTTGGGTGAGTATGGTGGCGCTGGTGCTGTGCTAGTGTATGGCCCAAGCCTGATGAGAGTCTGGAAGCTTCCGCCACACTTTCAGAGCCCCAAGCTGCCACAGGAGCCCAGGCACCCGGCGAGAGCGACCACATGGAGGGGCTGTGGGGAGGCAGCTGAGGCCCACAAGGCCACCCGGGCGCAGCAGCAGGCGTGTGAGGGAGCCCTGTGCACCTGCCAGCTCAGCCGGCCCCCAGACGGCCAGTGCCCCAGCAGACGCCACGTGGAACCGGAGGACCTCCCTGCTGAGCCCCGGGGACACAATGGGTTGGTTCTGTTTTAAGTCTCCAGGGGACCTGTCCACCTCTCCTGGTGACAGACGACTGACCGAGGTGGGGGGGCGAACATTCCAGAGGCCTCCTCTGAGGTGGGGAGAAGGGAAGGGCGGCAAGAGGAAGGGCTGGGGCTATGGAAGCAGGAGAAACAATGATATTTAATTTTCAAAAATTAATAGAGAAAATCGGCTTGATTATAAGAAGAGGAAATGGGCCTCTGTTAAGAATGGGAAAGTGCAGAGGAGCTGCAGATCAGCCGGGACAGTGATGGATGGACAGAGACTTGCTCAAAACAAGCAAAGGTGAAGTCGGCAGGAATAAAGCCGAGCACATCAGTCATCACATTAAATACTAATACGCTGAATTTTTCCATTAGCTGTATTTTTAACAACGTGGTCGTCTTTGAGTTTCACCTCTACACCGATTAATAAGACATATTCTTAAAGCAAAGTGATTTCTGAAGAAGACTGCGAGGAATGCAGGTGACTTCTGGAGAGGAGAGGAGAGAGCCACCACTGTCACAGCAGCTGGGAAAGCCTGACATGGAGACCGCACGGCACTGGGACCACCGGAGCGCTGGGGCAGTGGAAGCTGAGGCCTGGGCAACAGAAACAGGCAGGAAACGGGCAGAGCGGCTGGAGGCCTGTGGACCCTGCAGGCACAGCTGGTCTCCCTGGTCAACTGCTGAGTGTGGCACCAGCAAGGGAGGCAGAGGGGCTGTCCTGGAGGGAGGGGGCAGAGGGAGCCTGCAGCAGGCCCACGGCAGGTCCCACCCTCAGGATCTGGAGTGCAAAGGTAAACTGAGTCTAACCGAGGCTGCAACCCAGGCTCGGCCCAGCTCAAGCCCTGACTGGATTAAGGTGATGAAACCTTTACCTTATGCATTCACCCAACAGAGGAAAGGGCCAGCCCTCTCAGGGAGAAACAGTGGCTGAGAATTTTCCAAAACCGGTGAAAGACATGAACTCCCAGATGTGAGAAGTTCTGTGTACTCCAAGGAGGATAAGTAGAAATAAAATCACATCTGGGCACAGCACAGTCTGTTGAAAACCAAAGATTATGAGAAAAATCTTTTTTTTATTCTTATGTTTTTAAAGATGACCAGTAAAGGGATCTTAACCCTTGGCTTGGTGTTGTCAGCACCGCACTCTCCCAAGTGAGTCATGGGCTGGCCCCAAAGAGAAAAATCTTTAAGAAAGCTAGAGAAAAAAGACACAATTCAACAGTAATGATGGAAGTTGAATTTTTAGCAGCTCATGAGAGCCAGAAGACAGTGGAATTACATCTTTACAGAGCAGGAGGCGATAAAACCGCCAACCTAGGATTCTATCCTATGCAGAAATAAAGGTGAACTAAATTTATTTTACAGTACAAAAAGATATTACTAAAACTGAGAGAACAGATAAAATAGAACAAAAAGTTTTGATTCATCGATCAGAAAGCAGCAAGGAGAGAATAAAGAAACAGAAACATATGCAATACACAAAATAGCAAGATGGTAGACTTAAAATCAACCTTGTGCACAACTACCTGAAATGTAAGTGGACTCCCATGTGGAGACCGGTTCCCGCTCACTGGCTGAGCGCGGTGCGGGCGCAACACTGAGGGTTGCGATCCTGTTGCCGGTCCCCGGTACGGGCATGACACCGAGGGTTGCGATCCCGTTACCGGTCAGTAAAAAAAGACAAAAAGGAAAAAAAAAAACAAATATTGACAGGCTAGATAAAATAAGGTCCAACTGTATGATGTTTACATAAGATGCACTTTAAATATAAAGACACAGAAAGGTTGAAAGTAAACTAATGGAAGATTATCATGTAAATACTAACCAAAATAGCAGGGGTATGCCTATATATCAATATCGGACAAAACAGGCTTCAAGGCAGGAACTAAAAATGAGAAGTAAAGGGAAATATTTCATAATGATAAAAAGGCAAAACCAACAGGAAGAAAAAGCCATCCTAAACTGCAGACATCTAATAACATAGGTCCAAAATACATACAGCAAAAACTGACATAACTAAAAGAAGAAATACACAAGTTCATGATCATAGTTGGAAATGCTACCCACCTCTCTCGATAACTGATAGAACAAATGTAAATAAATCAGTAAGGATATGGGAAATTCAAGCAACGTGATTATCAACCTGACCCGACATACATAAAACACTATACCCAACAACTACAAAATACATTTTTCTCAAGTACACATGGAACGTTTACCAATGTACATCATATGGCAGGTCATGAAGAAAGTCTTCAAAATTTCAAAGGATTGAAATCATGGGGAACATGTTCTCTAATCTGTAACCAGATGAGTAATTGGAAGCAGATCCTCTGGCCCCAGCTGAGCCTTCAAGTGAGGCAGCCCAGCCAACAGCTTGGCTCCAGTTGCATGAGTGACCCTGACCAGAAAGACCAGCCAGGCCACTCCCCATTCTTGACCCTCACAGCTGCGGGAGGTGATAAATGTTTGTTGTTCCAGCTAAGTTCTGGGATAATCTGTTATGCAGCAAGAGATAATGAATACGTTGTCTAGCTTCTCGAGTTGGAAGCTTGGATTATTGATTTTACACATATTTTCTTTTCTAATACATGCATTTAAAAGTGATAAATTTCTCTCTAAGCACCAATTAAACTCAAAGAAAGAAGGGAGGAAATGCTAAAAGCAGAAATCAGTGAAACGGGAAACACATAGAACAGAGAAACTTAATGAAGCCTAAAATTGCTTTTTTTTGGAAAAGATTAACAAAATTGATAAATCCCTGGCAAGACTGATAAAAGAAAAGAGAGAAGACAAAGCACCAATGTCAAGATGAAAGGAGACATTATCATAGATCTTACAGACCTTTAAAAATAAGAGGATACCACGAAGAACTTTATGCTAATGCATTTGACAGCATGGATGAAACGGGAAAATTCATTGAAAAACGTATTTACCAAAATTGACCTGAAAAGAAACTGAAAGTCTGAGTAGTCCTACAATTGTTAAAGAAATCAAAGATGTTTTCAAGATTAAGCCCCAGCTGAACATCCAACCACACATTCAGTGCAGGAGACCAAGTGCACGGAATCTGAGCAGCCAGGGTGGAAAACTGCTAAGTGCAGTGCTGCTCTGTGGGGGGCAGATTTTCAAGATTAAGCCCCAGCTGAACATCCAACCACACATTCAGTGCAGGAGACCAAGTGCACGTAATCTGAGCAGCCAGGGTGGAAAACTGCTAAGTGCAGTGCTGCTCTGTGGGGGGCAGATTGGGACCCGGCAGGGACAGGGCTGTGCCCTGGGCTGGGCGTCACCACACCATGTGCAGGCTGAGTGGTCAGGAGACACCACTGCTGGGCAGGGAACAGGGTGAATGCTCACCTTGAAGCCCCTGTGGCTGTCACCACCCCCACCCCCCACCTCCCAGCCAAAGATGGAATTGCTGGGACTCTGACTCGGCAGAAGTCAGGTGAACCAGCCTAACAGAAGTAAGTTAGTGAAAACTGACTGCATTTGTGACCGGGGTTGCCGGGGACGGGGGAGCAGGGGAGGGGCAGGTGCTGACATTCCAGTCACTGTTGGCTGGGCTGGCACAAGCATGATAGAAATGAAAACAGTGCAGCTTGTCTACAGTATTCTCTTTCTTTTAATGCAGCTTCAACCTTCCACAGCCCAGGAAAGAAACACAGTTTTATTAAAAACAATAGGCTACCCGTGAATAAATCAGAACAGCACTGATTCTGATGCTCGCCCCAGCGCCTGAGAAGGAAATCAGTGTCGAGCCAGCTCTCACGTCTGGAGATGTCTCCATCAGCACAGCCACCAGGCGCCACTAGCATCCGCAAGCATTTTCTGATTCTTATTATCTCGTGTTAAAAAATCTATTCTGAGGCCGTGGCACTGGCGGGCGACGCGAAAGGTTTCCAGTGAGGCTTGTAAACTGATGCTCTTGGCTCAAGGTCAATCCCACCTTGAGTTTCATTACTTCATCCAGTAGCTCTTTGGCCTTTTGGGAGAAAAGGAGGGGGTGAAAGTCAGGCAGGCTGGCGGGACTCAGGATGTCCCATTTCCCTGGCGCAGATTCGCGCGGAGCCCTGTGTGGGGGTGGGCAGAGCCGCTCTCCTTCCCTGGGGCGCCCACGCAGCTGCATGATGGCCTGGCCCCTTGCGGTGGGCCCCGAGTAGCCTGCTCCCAGCCAGCTCCCAGCCCTTCCTTCCACAAGAGGACATCAACCTCTGAGGCAGACATGAGGGCCACTCATCCCGGTGTCCCCAACAGCCCCCCACAAGTGTTCTGTGCAGACAGTACTCTGAATAAATGCCAGTCAATGGATGGCATTGGAGGATGGGACCACCCCCCAGCCATCCTCACCCCACAGCAAAGAAACAGAACATCAGGGGCTCCGAGAGGTTTCTGTTCCAAATGCCATGTTCCCCAGCCAACCTATTGGCCAGAAAAAGGTGGGACCGAGGAGCCACCAGCAGTCACGGAGCAGCTCCCTCCCACCTCTGCCCAGTGGGCACCTGTGTCTGCAGTGCCCGACCACCCTCCCCAAGGATGGGCACCCTGGGGCCTTCTGCTGCCCCCTCAGGTCTACGTCCTCAGGGGCAAAAGAGGGACTTCCACCTCCAGCCCAGCACCCTGGAGACCCCTACAACACCCCGCCTGCCGCCAAAACAGCCCCATGACAGTCGCGGGCTCCCTTAGTCAGGGTTTGCAGCAGGGACCTCCACCTCCAGCCCAGCACCCTGGAGACCCCTACAACACCCCGCCCGCCGCCAAAACAGCCCCATGACAGTCGCGGGCTCCCTTAGTCAGGGTTTGCAGCAGGGACCTCCACCTCCAGCCCAGCACCCTGGAGACCCCTACAACACCCCGCCCGCCGCCAAAACAGCCCCATGACAGTCGCGGGCTCCCTTAGTCAGGGTTTGCAGCAGGGACCTCCACCTCCAGCCCAGCACCCTGGAGACCCCTACAACACCCCGCCCGCCGCCAAAACAGCCCCATGACAGTCGCGGGCTCCCTTAGTCAGGGTTTGCAGCAGGGACCTCCACCTCCAGCCCAGCACCCTGGAGACCCCTACAACACCCCGCCCGCCGCCAAAACAGCCCCATGACAGTCGCGGGCTCCCTTAGTCAGGGTTTGCAGCAGGGACCTCCACCTCCAGCCCAGCACCCTGGAGACCCCTACAACACCCCGCCCCCCGCCAAAACAGCCCCATGACAGTCGCGGGCTCCCTTAGTCAGGGTTTGCAGCAGCACGATGAGGTAGACGCTGGGCCACTGGTCCAACAAGCTCTCATGGTCTACACTCTGCTGTAGAAATCTGGATTCTTCGTGGGATTAATCACTGCCTCCTCTCGTCTTCTGCGTGCCTGTCCAATTCTCCTCTCCATGTCCTTCACTCACTCAAATCCCCCTACCGATTTTTGTTCCCCAGAGAGGCCCCCCGGGGCCCTGGATCCCTCCTGTGGGCCACTGCGCCCTTCCTGGACGCTCATCTTCCACTCCCACGGTCTGCTCCCTCGTTCTGGTAGGACGGAGAAAGGCTGTGTGGGAAGCGACATTTTTTGGTCCTTGAATGTCTGAGAACGCCTTTCTTCTGTGCGGCCCCAACCTTGGTGATGTGACTGAGCACAGAGCTCCCCTGGGCCGCTGAAGGCCGCACTCCTGGTTGCAGTCCTGAGTGGGCCTGTCCTCTCCCTGGGACCTCCAGGCTTCTGCACCTGCCCTGGGCCCCGACGTGGGGCCACGGTGCTGGGCACGTGGTGGGCCTTTCCCCTCCATTTGCTCTTTCTGGAACACCTGTTAGATGTCGAACCTCTTGGATCCATCCCTCTGTTTTTAGCTTTGTATTCTTGTGTTTTGGTTCCGTGGAATGAAACATCTTACTTCCTGTCGACACTTCTCTTGGCGCTTCACATGGCACCACTAGGTGGCTTTCTTCTTTTCTTCTTGCCACACCACGCTGGCCTCTGTATGCTCAGGCCCAGATGACAGAGCTGACAACCAGACGGAGTGACTCGTCTGCAAGTACAGCTCCCAGGGCTGGAGCCTGAGGAGCCCTCCCCCACCTGGCCCTGCAGGAGCCCCTGTGAGCGGGAGAGGGGCAGGGTGGGCCGGTGCTGCAGAGTGACCCTTGCTGCCTGTTGCACCAGGACGCCTTCCTCCAGGGCAAGATCAGTGTCTGATCCTAACTGCACCCTTGGGATTTTTTTTTTTTTTTTTTTGTCTTTTTCGTGACCAGTAAGGGACACTCAGCCAGTGAGCGCACCGGCCAGCCCTATATAGGATCCAAACCCACGGTGGGAGCGCTGCTGCGCTCCCAGCGCCGCACTCTCCCGAGTGTGCCACGGGGCCGGCCCTTAAAACCCATTCTACCTCTGGCTCTCCCAAGCCAAGACACAGAGCGGTGGGCCATCCTGGCCAGACGGATGCACGCTGGCCGCCTCGGGGCAGGAGGCTGCACCTGGCGGTGGGCTGGAGGGGACGGGCTGTGCTAGCAGGTGCTCAGTGCTGCTGGCTTGAATACTTCATGGGAAATTTGACACACACTTTTTTTTATCACAGAAAAACACTGAGACGGTACTCAAGATAAAGCCAACTCTCAAGGGACTTGGACACAGGCTTTGGATTCAAATGCACTCGGGTTTGACTCAAAGCTCCACTATTTACAGTGTTGCCTTGGGCCAGTCATGGCATCGCTGGGCCAGTCCTGGAGTCGTGGTTTGTGGCCTGGGAAATGGCTCAGTGGCAGCTGTGGAAGTTAATGGAGAGGTGTGCTGGGCGGGGTGGGCATTTGAGACCAGCCAGTGGTCTAGGGCTGCCCCTTTCAGGGGGTGACCAGGGCAGTCTGGGAAGGAGGTAGACAGGAGAACTGGGGGGAACATAGAGCCAGCTCTCAGGTTTTGGGTTTCCAAATACATTTTTTTAAAGTTAATTTTATTTTTTTCAGAGAGGTTTTCATCCCACACCAAAGTGGTACAGTCGATGCACCTACATTGACACATCATCATCACCCAGAGTCCACAGCTGATGCCACGGTTCCCTCTTGGTGCTGGACGTTCCATGGATTTAGACAAACGTACAATGATGCGTATCCACCACTGCGGAACCCAGCCGAGAATGTTCACTGCCCTAACAATCCTCCAGCCCCAACCTCTGGCAACCACTGATCTTCTTACTGTCCCCACAGTTCACCTTTCCCAGAACGTCACGGAGTTGGAATTTCACAGTACACAGCCTTCTGGGGCCAGCATCTGTCACTTGGTAGCAGGCATTGAAGGTTCCTCCACATCTTTTCATGGCTGAACCGTTCATTTCCTTTTACTGCTGAATCACATTCCACCGTCTGGATGTACCCGGGTTCACTTATCCATTCACCTACTGAAGGGCATCTTGGTTGGGTCCAAATCTGGGCAGTTATGAATAAAGATGCTGCCGACCTCCAGGAGCGGGATGTGTTGTTCTGTGAACATAAGTTTTCATCTCCTTTGGGTACATACCCAGGAGCATGAGTTGTATGGTAAGAGTGTAATTAGTTTTGTAAGGACTTGCCACACGGTCTTCCACAGCGGCTGTACAATTCTATGTTCCCAGCAACAAGTGAGGGTTCCTGTCGCTCCACATCTCGCCAGCATTTGGTGGTGTCAGTGTTTCAGATTTTAGCTGTTTTAATAGATGTGCAGCATTATATTTAGTTTGCATTTCCCTGATGACATATACTGTGGAGACACCTGCATATCTTTGATAAGGTGTCTGTTCAGATCTTTGGCCCATTTTTTAATTGGGTTGTTTTCTTATTGTTAAGCTTTTTAAGAGTTCTTTGTATATTTTAGATAGCCGTCCTTTATTAGATGTGTCTTTGGCAAACATTTTGTCCAAGTCTAAGGCTTGTCTTCTCATTTTCTTGAGTGTTTTTCATAGAGCAGAAGTTTTCAATTTTAATGAAATCCAGCTAATCAACTGTTTCTTTCATGGATCATGGCTTTGGTGTTTTATCTAAAAAGTCACCACCATACCCAAGGCCACCTAGGCTTGCTCCTATGTTATCTCCTAGGAGTGTCATAATTTCACATTTTACATTTATGTCTATGATCCATTTTGAGTTAATAAGATCTGGGTCTAGATTCTTTATCGTTTGCTTTTTGCAGTTTTTCCAGTTCCACTTGTTGAAAAAACTATCCTTTCCCCACTGAATCCCCTTTGCTCCTTTGTCAAATCAGTCAGCTCTGTGTGGGGGGTCTATTTCTAGGCTCTCTATTCTATTGGCCTGTCTTTTGAACAATACCGCACTGTCTCACTGCAGCTTTGTGGTAAGTCTTGCAGCTGGGGACCGTCGGTCCTCCCACCTTGTTCTCTTCCAGTGCTGTGTGGGGCATTCTGCGTCTTCCGCCTCTCCCTATAAACTTTAGAAACAGTTTGTCAATATCCACAAAGTACCTTGCTTGGATTTTCACTGGGATTGTGCTGAATCTAAAGATCAAATTGGGAAGAACTGATATCTCAATATTGAGTCTTCCTATCCATGAACGTGAAATATCTGTCCATTTATTTAGTTCTTTATTAGAGTTGTGTAGTTTTCCTCATATAGATCTTGTGCAAATTTTGTTAGATTTGTACTTAGCATTTTTTTTTTTGGTGCTATTGTAAATGGTATTGTTTTAAATCTCACATCCCCCTGTTCATTGCTGGTACGTAGGGAAGTGGTTGACTTTTGTACATTATCCTTCTATCCTGCAACCCTGCTATAACCACTTATTAGTTCTAGGAGTTTTTTTGGTCAATTCTTTTTCTACACAGATTATCATATCATCTGAGAACAAAGAGAGTTTTGTTTCTTCCTCCCCAATCAGTGTGCTTTTTATTTCCTTTTCTTGTCTTATTGCATTAGCTAGGACTTGCAGCGGGATGTTGAGACGGAGTGGTGAGAGGACACCTGGACTTGCTCCTCCTCCTAGCAGGAAAGCTTCAAGTTTCTCACTATTAAGCACAAGGCTAGCTGTGGAGTTTTTGTAGTTTTTTTTTTAAATTTACGCTAGCACTAGACCACTGGGGAAGATGTTCTTCTTCGGGTTGAGGAAGTTTGCCTCTACTCGTTTGCTTCTTTAACCTACTGATGTGATGAATTACATTAACTGATTTTTGAATGCTGATCTGGCCTTGCACACCTAGGATAAATCCCACTTGGTCACAGTGTATAATTGTTTTTATACACTGTTGAATTCAGCTTGTGAATGTTGAGGATTTTGCTTCTGTGATCATCAGAGATTTGGTCTGTGGTTTTCCTTTCTTGTAATGTCTTTGTCTGCCTTTGATTATTAGGGTGATGTTGGCCTCATAGAATGAGTTAGGAAGTGCTTCCTCTGCTTCTGTCTTCTGGAAGAGATTGCAGAGAATCAGTGTAACTTCTTCTTCCATAAATGTTTGGTAGAACTCACCAGTGAACCCATCTGGACCTGGTGCTTTCTGTTTTGGAAGGTTATTAATTATTGATCCAATTTCTTTAATAGATACAGGCCTATCCAGATGGTCTATTCTTCCTGTGTGAGTTTTAGCAGATGCTGTCTTTCAAGGAATTCATCCATTTCATGGAAGTTATCAAATTTTGGGGCACAGACCTGTTCATAATACCAAACAGACTTCTGAGTCCATAATCTGAAGCACTGGTTTGAGACACAGATGTCCGGAAGCTCTAAGAAGCAGGGTTTTGTGTGTCTGAGGACAAGGTTATACCCATAAGCAAAAGATTTAGAGAGAATAAAGGCTTATCTAAAGGCAGATAAAAATTCTCTGGGCTGGGGCCGAGCCCGTGGCACACTCGGGAGAGTGCGGCGCTGGGAGCGCGGCAGCGCTCCCGCCGTGGGTTCGGATCCTATATAGGGATGGCCTGTACAATGTGCTCACTGGCTGAGCGCTGTGCGGCCAGTCACAAAAAGGACAAAAAAAAAAAAATTCTCTGGGCTGGGGAGAAGAAGAGAAGAGGGGTCATAGACTGGGCAGGTCTCCATGAAGTGGTCCCACCCCTGGCCTGCACCCCTCCCCACCCCCATCCTCAAGAAGAGGAAGACAACAGAGAGGGAGCCCACGGTGGGCTGCAGGGATGGGAACCCAGGGACCTCTTCCTCCCCTAGGATGGTGGAACTCCCTCTGGGGCAGCCAGGATGCAGCCCAGCACCAGCTCGACCCAGGCACAGGGGCTTGAAGCTACTGCATCAGGGCAGGGCATGCCAACCTGGAACAGCCCCATAGGCCAGGAGCCTGGGAAGCCTGGGAATAGACTACTGTCCCCATGGCTTGAGCAGGGTGGGGACGCAAGCTTCCAGGTACTCATGGTCAGGGAGCTGCTGCTTCCCTCCACCGCCGGCCAAGCTGGCCATGCATCCATCCCTGCTCTGCTCCCATCATGAGGACACTTCCAGACACAGGCAGGTGCTCATCAGTATCTGTGGAATGTGAACACCCATAGCAGCTTGGCAGAAGATGGTTAATTTCAAGTCATCCAGGAGAGATTTCAGTGGGTGGCTGTGTTGGGGGCTCCCAGGCAGGAGCACTGGCATCCCCATGAGCATCAGCCTTGCTGCCACACAGACGGGGGCGTGCATTGCCCAAGTCTGGCCAGAGGTAAGCCCTTCTCTGTGGCAGGGTTGCTCATGGCCAGCCCTGGGCCCAGACCCTGGCTCTGCCCAGTGTGAAGCCTTGAGTAAGGACCCCATGGACATGGGAGTGGACTGGTCCCAGTCCCCATCCTGCCACTTGGGCCATCAAAAGCCCCCTGCTGAGATGCTGGGTCCTGCCAGGGGGCCCACACACCTGAGGGCTCACACTGCAGCTGAAACGTTTTCTACCATCTGACCAACCCGAACTGGGAATGTCTCATGCTATAAGACACACTAAACACATTCTGCATGCTCCAAAAAGACACAAAAAGTTCCCTTCGATTTTTAATAAAAGTTTTTTAAGCAGAGCTGACAGGCGCTTACAACTTGCAAGTCCTGGGCAGCCTGCCTTCCCTCGTCCAGTGGCGCCGTCCCGCGGAAGCCCCTCCTTCGTTCCTGCATCTGCCGAAGATGCTGTTTTATCCTCTCTTCTAAGCTCCCCTCGAGGACGTTGCTGAGAAAACAAAGGAAAATGAGGAACGTGGTGTCAACACGTGCTCTTCACCTGGCAACTCTGATTCTCATCAAGAAGAGACAATTTTCCTTTTCTCCCCAGACCAAATTGCAGTGCTGAGGCCCCCATGTGGTGACACACGGTCGCCCCTGTCCTCCTGCAGACACTAGCAGGCGGTGCCTGGGCCACCTGTCCCACCCCTTCTTCAGAGAACACACACCACACTTTAAAAACTCCGAATCCACTTAGGATATCACATGTTCAGGTTACTGCACATTGTGCCACATGAAGGAGAACAGTATGTCGGTTTTTATTTGAAATACACAGGGTTACTAAACCCTAAAATATAGGAGCTGAGAACTGTCTTAAGTTAGGATTTTAAACACACCTTCTCTGCCAGCACTGGGTCTTGGGGCTTGGAGGCTGGTATTCTTTGGTTTTAAATACGATGACTTAGATGGCAGAGAGTGGCACAGAGGAGCTGTAAGAGGGGTGGTGGGTATAAGTGTAGAGCCCTGGGGTGTGGGGGACCCCCACCGCCATCAGCAGGGTTTGCTTTGGCTTGCTTTCCGGGATAATTGTGGGAAAGACAGCACAACCTCTGAGTCCTGCAGAACATGGGCCCGGCGCCAGGGTGTGCACCATCTCGGTGACCGGGACCCTGCTGATCACTGGTGCCCCAGCGTGCTGGGGAGAGGTCAACAGGCCACCACGGTCTGCTGTGAACTTTTTAAAGACCTTGGACAGCAATGCAGACTCGCTGGAGGAACAGAACATTCTGATGCCATAGGTTTCAGCCCAAACTATTTCCACGTAGCTGGAGAGTTAATCCAACTCAATTGACCTTCGAGATCATCTCCAAATGTTCTAGGCATCTGTGGAGAACAAATTTTCCAGGACAAAACATTGCCCTTTGCTGTCCACATCTCACACCATAGTGACCTTCCTCCAGGTATCTCAGATCGCAATGTGGGACATGCAGGCTGGGCCAAGAGGATGGCCTGGTGCCCATGGGAGCAGCTCCACAGTGCCCTTTTGCTTGGGCTGAGCCCAGTGCAGGAGCTTCCACTGCAGGCTCTGGGCTGCAGCCCATGATGGGCTGAGTGCAGGTCAGGACGGGGCAGCCAGGAAAGTGAGAGAGGTACGGAGGGCTGGGGGGTGGGTACTGACACCTCAGGCCCTTCTGGCCATGGTGCCAGGCCCCCTCAGCTTTCCCAACGCGCCCGGGAGGTGCAAAGCAGAAGAATCTGAGTGTGAGGCACCTGGGCAAGAAGATGCCCACACAGTGTAGTTTTGGGTGGTCTAAACACAGACCACGGCCTCAGAGGAGCAGAGAGTGCAAGGGGGCTCAAAAGCCATGCCCAGGGTACAGACCCTAAGTCAGCATCAGGGCCAGGAAGGCATGCTGCAGAAGCAGTCAACACAGAAAACTAGAGAGACGCTGCTGACGAGGTGAAGAGGGTCCCAGAGCCGCTGCTCACCCCTTCACAGCCGGGCTCTCTCCTCACCACGACGCCAGCCCAGGGACCCACTCCCTCCTTGTGCCCTGACTGCTCTATGTGTCAGGTGATGAGCGCAGGGCACTGCGGGGCTCACCCTGCTCCAGGGACTCCCCACGGCCGCCCACACCCTCCTGCCTGGTTGGCCCTCTTCAGCCCGCTTCTCTGTCTGCCCCAACGCTGCCGTCCGCGGCTCTGAGCCCCAACTCTCCCCCCAGTTTTGGTTCCAGGTTGGCATCATGAGTCCCAAACACCCCTCCCTGCTCTCCTGAGCTCCAGACCCAGACACAGCCCACCGAAGATCCTAGATGGACCAGCTGCTGACTCTTCCTCTCTGGGGGATGACAAGCCCATCTGCCACCACCTGGCCAGACTCAAATCCCAAAGTGTCTCAAGTGCTGGTGAGCCGGCCCTCCTGATGCGACTTCCTGATTCTGGCTGCTTCCTCCACCCCACAGTCACTATTGAGGGATCCTGTGCCATGGATCCTTCACCTGGATCAACACCCGGCCTTGCCTCTCTTGTGACAGTGTCTCGTGGGTGGGGCCACATGGCTCTAAAAGCCTTGCCCAGCATCCCCTCGGGGGACAGCCTGAGCATGGCCCTGAGTGTCAGGTTTAAGGAAGTCAGGGCTGGAAGGAGTGAGGTTAGAACTCAGGGCGGGCAGGACAGGGGCCGATGAGGGCAGATCCCAAGCCTCCGTCAGGACCCACAGCCGTGTCCACAGCACAAGGCCTGGGCAAGGAGTGAGGTTAGAACTCAGGGCGGGCAGGACAGGGGCCGATGAGGGCAGATCCCAAGCCTCTGTCAGGACCCACAGCCGTGTCCACAGCACAAGGCCTGGGCAATGTTCTAAGTCCTGGGGACAACGTGACTGTGGCTCTCTACAAGAGGGCCCTGAAGGCAGGGACCACACCATTCGGTTCACCCTCCCATCCCTAGAGCCCACCACAAGCCCGGACATTCTGGGGCGCTCAGCCCATGCCCATGGCAGCAGTGGGTGCCCAAGCCCTGGGAGGACCGAGTCACCACTAGTCACCAACCTTCTGTCTTTACTTGCTAGCGACACTTTCTCTTTGGCGCACTTCACTTTTCCACGTGGGTCTCTTGGTGCTGTCGCATTATCTGTCAGATCTGTGGCAAACGGAGTCCTTAACGCCACCTAGGGAAATGCAAGACGGTGTTTTCAGGAATCCAAGAAAGTGACTGCTTTACTCAAAGCTAATCTGCCAGGTGCTTGGGGTTGCTCTTCATCCTCGAAGAGGCTAATGCACGGCCGCCCAGAGGTGGACATCCCTTACGCAGGGGTCCTCAGGTCTCCATCTGGACATCTTTGCAGAGGCCTCCCCAACAGCCCGGGCTGATGGGAGGGGCGGGCAGAGTGGAGAGGACCCTGGGTGGGCTCAGAAGGCCGCTGCTGTGCCCTGGGGGTAAGACAGATACAAAATACACCGTCTAAAACAGGCCCCGAGTCACTCATACAGATCGCACCATATTTTTAAATCATTGAGTTTCAAGCTAATGCACAAGTGCTAACACAGAGTGAGAAAAACAGAAAGCCTCGTAGCTGGAAAGCTTGCATTATAAAGCTGGTTGGACTTGGATCAACGGCATAGTGAACTGGCACAAATAAGCTGAAAACTTACAGAACTTAAGTGTTGTTCCTAATAAAGGCCACTGTAATTCCGAGTGAAAACGAGCTCCTTCCAGATGTGTATACGAACACAGTCAGGCTCAGTTATGCCCCGTGAACCAGCATCCCGCCCCCTCCCCTCCACCCCAGACGCAAGCAGCAGCCCCTCAACTGGTTTTGTTCCTAATAAAGGCCACTGTAATTCCGAGTGAAAACGAGCTCCTTCCAGATGTGTATACAAACACAGTCAGGCTCAGTTATGCCCCGTGAACCAGCATCCCGCCCCCTCCCCTCCACCCCAGACGCAAGCAGCAGCCCCTCAACTGGTTGGCCCAGGGGCACACGAACCTGGCAGAATGTCTACGCCCGTCCACAGTCCTCTGCTCTTTTCAAGTATCTCTTAAGGATGTTTTCCTAACTTGTCCCACTAGCTGGCTCAGGCGGGGGCTCATGGATTTTACCGGGTGTGGGAGACGGCAGGAGGGATGGGGCCTACGCAGGGGCAGCCAGCCTAGGAACTCTCTGTAAGAATCAACAGATCATTTGAGTTTACTGAAAACATAGCAAATTCCTTAAAACTTCTAAGCTGCAGCATCCCACAGAACACATTGAAACAGCATGACTGATATTGTTAGAACATCCATCATTTCTAACTGGCCACGGACACTGCCACTGAGTCGTCACCACCTGAAACTTCCTCATCCATGCCTGACTCCCCTTCCCCTGGTGCTCCCAACCCAATGACCGGTCGCTGCCTCCCAACCTCCCTGCTCCCACAAGCAGGCACACCCGCTTGGTTAGTTTTTCTACAACATGCCCCGTTTGTGACCTGCATGCCGCCTGCTCTGCAGCACTCCCTGCCATCACTGCCCGGCTGCATCCTCCCTGCTCAGTTGGGGTCTCTCGAGGAAACTGCTGAGGGGCTCACTCTGTGTCATTTGCTCACGAGGGGCACTGGACCCTGTCGGCTGGTGCAGAACCTGTGCCGCCTGCATCCCCTCTCGCCCTCCTCCTCCAGCCCTGGGTGCAGCGCCAGCTCCCTGCCCCTCGCCACAGGGGCCCTGACCTGCTCCTGCAGCTTCAGCGCAGGGGCTGGGGGCCTGGAGGGACTCTGCACTCTCCGGACATGAGTGCATGCAAGGGCCACGGGACCAAGGCTGCTAGCTGCTGCCTCCAGACACGAGTCTGAGAGCCAGACGGACCCCTCCCCGTTCCCCCGACCTCGGGGAGCACCCTTGTCTGTGTGTGCACGTGGGTGTACGTGTGCACGGGCGTGCGTGCCTGTGTCTGAGAGTCAAGGGGACTGTCAGAAAGCAGAGGCTGACTAAAGCTGTGTGTGTGAGAGGACTGGGGGGTACGAGGCATGACCCAGGGGCTTGTGTCAGTGTGGAGTCGGGTGGCATCAATGAGGTGCCTGGCTAGACAATTCTGTCCTCCGAATGGATCGCCAGGGCTGGGACCTTGTCACCATGAGTTTGACCCTAGCACGTGCCTGACACTGAGAAGGTGCTTAACAAACACCTAGGAAGGGTGGACAATGGGAGGAGGACCAGGAATCCCCCGTGAAGAGCACAGGGCTGCGCACACGGCAGAATCGTTCACGGCCGTGGGAGAGCAGGAGCACTTTCATTTCATCAAATTCCCCAAAGATTATTTCAACAGAGGGAAAAAGAGCATGCTAAATCCAGCAGGTGATCTTTTTGTTTTTTCTTTTAAAGTCGGACATTTAACTTTATTTTTAAAAATATTAAAAGCCTGGTTTGGAAGGAAGCCCACCCAGCCATATTTTACTACCTGTATTACCACAAAACACAGAAGAGGAAGCCTCATTCAGATCAAAGAGCCTACGTGGGGCCGGCCCAGTGGTGCACTGGAGAGTGCGCTGCTGGGGAGTGCGGCGGCGCTCCCGATGAGGGTTCAGATCCCATGTGGAGACCGGTTCCCGCTCACTGGCTGAGCGCGGTGCGGGCGC